GAGATGGGCGTGGGTAAACATATTGGGTGCAATGTATTTTAATGATGTCTACAGTCAGATGTTGGTACACTTAGCTGAGAAAGGTCTGTTCAAATGGAAATGCTTTGCTTTCTTCAGGCTCATTCTTGGTAATTTATGGGTCTGAATGCAGTTTGCAAGTTTGTGCATCCTGTTGTCTGCTTTTCCCCCAGAGTTGAGGCAGGACTGTTCCATTAGGCCAGAAAGCCAGTTGCCTTGAATTTCAGTGTTTCCTGGAAGTGTATCCCTTAGCAGCCATTGGAACCCCCAAAACTAGAATGAACTGGTCATTCTCCTGATGTCTCTGAACCCCCACATAGAAGCTGATGCTCAGGCACAGAAACAGTCCTAAATAAGGCCAGGTGATGGGAGGCCGACTAGAAATGATAGAATGTGACACCAAGGATTACAACGTTTCACCGTTTTAGTCTGAAATGTTTCATGGAACCCATCGAGGCTTGAGATAATGACTCACAAGAAAGGCAAGGGATAGGAGAACAAGCTGAGGGACACTACAGCAGAGCAGCCAGACCAGGCTAGATGAGGGACACTCTGGAGGACCTCTGCCTTCCTCCACAAGTCAGCGACATCGAAAGGATGTGCCACATGGAGGGGAGGGGAGGCTATGGCTACCAAATACAATGTGCAGCACATGTTTAGGCAGAGGTCTGGGCAAGCGCCTCTAATGGGCACATTGGAGTCAGCTGGGGACATTGAAATATACTCTAATATTTAGAAGTGAGAGAGCCTTGAAGTTTGACAACACACACACACACACACACACACACACACACACACACACACACTCACACACACACACACACACACATACACGAATTATAAGGGAGGATGCTTAGGGTGATCTCACATTGTATGGAGTGTGGATGTGTGTGTGTGTGTGTGTGTGTGTGTGTGTGTGTGTGTGTGTGTGTGTATGTGTGTGTGCATGAGAAGACCCAGGACACCACACACATGGCATGCTACAATGGTAATCTCTGTGGGAAACACATACTCATCACTGTTGCCACTCTAACGACTGACCAAGCATAGTAGCAGTAAACAGCTCTGACTTACTATCTCATGGTTCTCTGAGTTAGAAATCTAAAAAGTCTCACTAAGTCAAACTTCAAAGACGCTCAAGGAGAGCGTGCACTCTCCGGCTTCCCAGGGCTTCCTGCATCCCTGGTTCACAGCCCCGACTTCACTCTGACCCCTGCTCCTCACCACACACCCTCTTCTCCTGCTTTTTCTCACACATCACCTCCTCAGGGAGGTCTTTCTGCCCCCCTCTTATGAGAACCCCTTGATACCCACAACCATCTCCCCCTCTTTAAGTTGACCACATTTACGAAACCCCTCTTATCACACGTGGAACATGTGCAGCCGACCCTGAAGTAAGAACGTGCTCATCTTAACGATGGGTGGCATTATTTTGCCCACATGGTAGAAATATGCTTCCTCTTCATCTATGCCCATCTTCATAGTTTGCCCATCTATAATTCTAATCTTTATATGGTGTGTGTAGATGGGATCTTTAACGTTCAACACAAAATGGTATATTTCCTTTGGGGAACTCTGCAGTTCTCCATTGGTGAACCTCAACTTACAGAGGACAAAGAAGATTGTCCCACAGGTGATAGTCCAGCTCCATCAGTATGGAGGTAGAGGTGAGTGGATGCCTGTCTCCATGAAGCTCTTTCTGCGTGGACCACAGCAAGGCCATCAGCACCCTCCATTGGGCACCTTCTGTGTACCACGTTTCCTGTAACCTGTTTTATAGGTAAGGACCCTGAATATCCAGTTCATTAAGTAACGTGTCCAAGGCCACCATTAGTTCGTTAGAGTCAGATTTCAAATCCAGAGCCAGAGTGCTTAACTCCCGCTCATGTTTTCTCAAGGGAGAGAACTGGAATGTCCACGGCATCTCTCAATAACCACGAACAGACAGCCTTCTGGAACACATGCTCACTGTCCATGCTGACAAAGGCCCCCACCACCGCTGGACCCAGGCTTCTCTGACCAGGCAAGCAAACCGAAGGAAGACAGCACAGCCGGTCTGAGGTAGGACAAAGGCGTGAGGCTCCCACTCCTGCTCCCACTCCCCGATCGCCTGCAGCTCTGTCTTCTAAAACACAGACCTCCGCGGATTGTTCACACAACTCCATCTCTCGACATCCGACTGCTAGAAAAATAACCTTCTGCTCCAGAGTAAGAAAAAAACATGAAATGAGACAGTTAAGACTGCCCTACTCTGGTGATGGGATGGCCAAACACCCTGTCGTGCCAGAAACCTTATCCAATGACTGAGGGAACCGGATGCAGAGATCCACGGCCAGGCCCCAGGTGGAGCTCCAGGAGTCCAATTGGCGAGAAAGAGGAGGGTTTGTATGAGCGAGAACTGTTGAGACCAAGGTTGGAAAAAGCACAGGGACAAATAGCCAAATGAATGGAAACACATGAACTATGAACCAATAGCTGAGGGGCCCCCAACTGGACAGGGCCTCTGAATAGGTGAGACAGTTGATTGGCTTGATCTGTTTGGGAGGCCCCCAGGCAGTGGGACCGGGACCTGTCTTCAGTGCATGAGTTGGCTGTTTGGAACCTGGGGCTTATACAGGGACACTTGGCTCAGCCTGGGAGGAGGGGACTGGACCTGCCTAGACTGAATCTACCAGGTTGAACTCAATTCTCAGGGGAGTCTTTGCCATGGAGGAGATGGAAATGGGGGGTGTGTTGGGAGAAGGGGAGAGGGGGAGGGAGGGGGGAGAACAAGGGAATCCATGGTTGATATGTAGAATTAAATTAAATTATAAAATAAAATTTAAAAAAATAGAAAAAAGACTGTGTCCACACAGGCTGGAGAGGTGGCTCGGTGGTGAAAAACACTGCCTGTTCCTCCAGAGAACAAGGGTTCAGTTCTAAGCATCCACACAGACAATCACAACTGTCTCTGATTTCAGTTCTGGGGAATCCAAGGGCACACACACATACATACAGACAAAACATGTATGCTAAAAGTAATATTAATTTAAAGAAAAGATTGTGTTGATGCTTGTGACTGACCTGAGAGGCCCATGTCTTTGGGAAAAGCAGCCCAAGCTGACTTCTGATGCTGTTTGAGGGGACCCAGCTAGAGGGATGGCGATGTCTGCAAATGGCTGCCTCCTCGGTCTCCCTGCTGATCCGCTTACACCAGGGAAGGCTGCAGTGTTTTCCCAGAGGACTGTGGACCTCATGGGCCCATGCATGGGACACAGGCTCTTTCCGATGTATCATTTCTTCTACTTGAAAGAACTCCCGAAGGCTGGTGGCTTGGATCTCAGGTCAGGGACCTGGCTTTGCTTCCAGTGGTCCAGTCGCTAGGTTCCTTGATGACTATCCAGTTGGTTCTGATTCTCCTGACCATGTGTGTGGCATAGGTCCAGAGAGCATGCGTGCTGTGAATCACTTGGCTTGAAGATGCCCTCTAGTATGTAGAGGAGACCTCCCTTTGCTGGATGTGGTGTTGTGACTGCTCAGATTTTGACCCCTTCAGTCTTCAGCCTTGCATGGGCCTCTAGTGTAACTCTCTGATTCGAACTGTTGCCATTAATCTCCTTGTCTCAGCCTTCCCTTGTCCCACCATTCAGTGTGTCTCTACAAGAGCCTACACTATCCTGAAGTGCTTCTCCAACCCAGAGGCACTATGTCAGCCACATGCACCCAGGTCACCAGAGGAAAGTAACCTCTTTGGAGGCCACACTTCTGACTTTTCCTCTATGTGTGTGATGTTTCTTCAGTTTTAACCAACAGAGGTATGACAGAAATGCATACACAGCAGCTGGAAATGTGGCGCAGGGGTAGAGTACCCCTGAGCACGTCAGAGATGCTCCTCCATCCCCACATCACAAGCCACAAACCTGAGATGGAGACACAGCTCCCTAATCACTTCCACATAGTCTACAGACTTGGAAAAGCCCCCTGAGTCCATTCTCAAGAAAGACTTCCACAGTCACACGCTTCTGCCTTTGGCAAATGATCAGAATCTCCACCAGAGAGCCTATGACATTTACTGAGAGTCCCTAGAACCCCATCTCTGCCCTCATTCCATCATCAGTCCTGTCCCAGCAAACAGAAGAGCCAACAACCAGCTCTGGAGCCCCACCCCCACCCTAAGCAGCTCCGTGCTGACCATTCTGTGTGCTTTGCAGATGATGCTCCAAAAAACCAGAGCTCGGAGAAAAGTCCTTTTTAGACATTTTAAATGGAAAAAAAGTAAAGAAGGAAAACATATCCGGATCATTTTCAAAAATCACTCACAATCAGTTGGAAGGTATTCGGTGAACTTTGTTTTACAGCGTTTTGTGGCCAGTTACAAATTTGGGTCATGCCCTGCAATCAATCTCTGCCGGGAACTTTCACTGAGGCTATCAGGGGAATTAGACATAAAATGTTAGAGGCCGGATCAAGAATGCGCAGATGAGCTGGGGGAATGTGTGGCTGGCTTTCTGGACACAGGATAAAAGAACAGCTGTATGACTCTGGTCCAGCTCAGACCCAGGTTCTCATCCAATGTCACTCAAAATTAATGTTCCAACCATCGCTGATGGCACAGAGACCTCACTGACTTGAGCGTGGAGACCAAACCATCTCTTCCTGATTATTTTATTGGCTGCAAGGCCCATGAAATAATGGTTACAGCATGAAACTGCCTGTGTCTGAGAAGCCGGAGGGAACGGCCAAGTCTACAGAATGTTCTATGGCTTATCAGCAAGGGTACTCCCTCTGCTCGTGAAGCTTAGCAAATCTATAAAAGAGTGATTGCAAGTTCCCCCCAAAATCTGGTGAGTAAAAACTGTTTTCCTTAACAAGCATTCTTCTGGGGGGGGGGGACCTGGCCTTCTCACTGCAAGAGCGGTGGCTGGGGGGGGGGGGGACGGACCATTTTCATATTATCTGAAGGACCACAAAGACACGTCAGGTTCTTTGTGGAGGCAAGCTGCTAAGCAAGCGGCCTTGTCTCTCCTCTGCATTCTTCCTCTGAGAAGGATTTGCAAGGCAGCCGAAGCTGAAGACTGCCTCCACACAGCCGAGACTTTCCCAGGATTTCAATAGAGAAGTTGACCTCTAGCATGAAATTCCTTGGGTGAAGAAAAAAAAACATGGATCTTAATTTATGGAGGCTCTTGGTGACATCCTATGTGGTAAGCAACCTCTCTGATACTTTAAAGAAGTAAATTGAGCTATAAAGCAAGTTTTAATCATGTTCTGGATTCCTTTGGTTCTTAGAAGGTCTAGTTAGAGATAATAATATAATCATTCCAGCCACAAGAAATAGCTACCACTTTGGTGTCCTTTTATATACTAGGTCTGCATGACATACTATGCATCAACTAACTCATTTAACCCCTTGAAGGACCTTGCCAAGTGCTGGGTATGCAGCTCGGTAGGTGGGGTGCTTGTATAACAGGTACTAAACCCTGGGCTTCAACCCTAGTGCCACACAAACTAGGCATGGTTGGGTTGGGTGCACTTGTGATCCCGCACTCAGGAGATAATCTTCAAGGCCGTCCTTGGGGACAAAGCAAGTTCAAGGCCAGTCTGAACTACATGAGAGTCTGGTTTTTTGTTTGTTTGTTTTCTTCTTCTTTTGCTTTCAGAATCCTACAATGTAGACAGTACTACCACCGTTATTATTTTATGAGTAAAGAAACAGTTCAAAAGTTAAGTAACTTGTCAAGATGGTACAGCAGTTAAATCATAAGGCTAGGGTTCAAACCCACACCACCCCATGCCCTGTGCGGCCCCGTACTTCCTCCTCGCTGAGACAGGAGGGTGAGACTACACACTCTGCAGGACTGAGGTCAACACCGTTTTAAACTCAAGAGTAAAACAGTAGAGCTGGAGAAGTAAAGAACCAGAGCTCTGCCCTGAGGCCCTGTGACATACGCAAGTGACGGGGACAGCTGGGCTCCAGTTGGGTAAAGGGAAGTGGTAGAGACAAGGCTAGAGGTTAGCGCAGTGAATTCTGGGCAGCGGTGTCAGAGGGTCAGCAGACCTTCCCCCAGCCAGCAGGCTTCCCCCCACCCAGAGGTCCAGGTGGTGCATTTTCATGGCCACCAGAAGTTTGTGTTCTCTTGCTGGCTCTGAAATGGGGTGAGGGATGTTTGGGAATTAAAATGGAAGGATTAGTGATGTCCCGTAGAGTCCCTGTGCAGACCATATGTGAAAACACCTAGGTATGCCTAGCATTGTGCTCTGCACCCAAGAAATCCCCAGGGAACAGAGCACAGTGACTGTCTTATGAAGCTGAGAGAGATTTTCAGATGGAGCTGCACCCATGTCTCAGGTCCATCCTGGGACAAGCAACTACTTCCCCCAGGGAAGATTTGGGAAGCATCTAGAGACTCCAGTCTCCTGTATTCCCCACTTCCTGTCCACTCCTACGAGCCAAGGAGAGATGCACAAACACTCCCCTCCCTCTGGCCCACTGAGGGAGGCATTCCAGGGCATTGACACAGAAAGCATTCCACATCATTGGGGTAGAATTCTGCTTCTAAATGATAGTCAAACCTGCTCCATCTCAGAAAAACAAACAAACAAACAAACAAACAAAAAAACTCCTGAACAAAGATGACTTCGATAATGAATTGAAGGCTGACATCCAGCCATGAAGATGCTGTTCGAGGTTCTACTGAAGATGTAGGTGAGGCACACGGCCAGCCGTATTGACTAACAGACTAAAGAGACTAGGTGCCTGCTCTGTTGACCCCCAGGGCAATACCATTCCTGCCCTCCCTGGTGACCATTTCATTTAATTGTTGGAAGGCAAAGTTTATGGACTTTTTGCCAGACCCCAGCTCTGTTGGAGGCACCTCAGGTTTCAGATGTTTACAAGAGTTGACTCAGGTTAGGATGCCCTTTGTACAAACACGTTCGCTTCGGTGGTTGCCCTGTGGGATGGTGCAAGTGAGAAACCCCAGGTACAGAGAGAAGCACTACAAATATCCTTCTGGAAAACACAGCAGTGTGATGTCAAAATAAAAACCACATCCACCCACAGTGCCACGCTAAAAGTGGAAGATTCCATCATGGGAATACAGTGGTCCTGTCCCAGGACCTTGGAAAGAGAAGCATTGGGAGACACTGGAAAAAGTCTCCATTGAAAAGCCTCTTGCTGCTTCCTGCCTCCACTGAAAAGGAGCCCAATTTTCTGGTATTTGAGAATGAGCAATATTTAAAGGTTTAGGGAAAATTAGTCAAATGCACCTTGATTATAAACACATGTACCCATTCCATTTGGCTCTCTTAGAATGTGGGTTTTAACCAGCTACCATTAACGGTGAGCACACCCACCCGCTCGTCAGTCTCTCTTCTTGTAATAGACACGGCAGGAGGAAAACAATATTTAGTCATCTTGGATCTCTTTCCAGAGCAGGAAGAATTACTGAATATAAATTGTGTCTTCCTATCACATGAAACAAATGAAACCTTCTAAATTAAATAAAGGAAAAATTAACAATCAGGATTAGGTAAAAAGCATTACATTTCCTTGGGGTTCGAGTTACAAAGATATGTTTTCGTAAAAGAAAGAAAGGTCAGTTACCACTATTAAACTTGTATATTGTTTTATACTAAGCCCTTTCAGTGGCCTCTCTGAGGGACTGTTTAGTTTGTATTACACTCTAATAAACTCCAGGTGTACACGACAAACTGAATAATCAGAACCTGATGGCCCAAACTAGTTAAAAATAATGTGGTACATTCCTGGTTCTCTGCATTTAATTTATTGTTAATCACTGTTATTACTTACATTTATTGGGTAGTTTTTCCAGATTTATTAGGCACTGCATTTAACAGTGTTATCGCTTGTAACTGACCATCAGTAGAATCGAAAACATATTTTGAAAGTCTCTTGCCCTAATTAGTAAGACGCTTCCTTGTGAGACTGAACAGACCCCCAAAATGACTGTTATTCCCCCCCCCCCGCGCCCCAAGTCAGAAGGGAAGTCCAACACAAAATGCACTCTCTCCACAACCACCTGTTGGTGATAAGGAAAGGGACATCATTACAGGCTCTGAGGGGACCTTCCTCTCAGAGGGAACAATGTGAGGTGCATTTTACAGGACACAGGGGTCCCTTCATGGGAAAGAACATCTTCCTGTAGTTCAGTCTCTAAGATGCCAAGGAAGGCCGGGGGGGGGGGGCTGCTGATCTGCCTCCTGTCTGGCAGCCTATCACCCAGAAACCAGGCTAAGGATAAATGGGAGAAGAGCTCCTTGCACTAAGGTTCACACTCAGCTGTTAATGAACTCACACTCTTTAGCACACAGCACAGAGAAACACACCAAGAGCTGTTTCTGAATGAGGAACAAATGCCAAAGAAAGAAGGCTCTCTGCCTTGGTTGGAGCAACCTCTGGAATAGGAGGGAAGAGTCTTAGGCTCTTATCCCCCTTCTGCTGTGTGGCCTTGGACAAGTCCTAAATCATACTGCAAAACACAGTGTGTTCTTCTAACATGAGGTGATCAACTAATCACATTCAGGACCCCAATTTGTTACCCTTCCCTGCATCCATATCCTTTATCATGTGGGTTTTCAATTCCTCTCCCTAAAGAGACTGAGTTCATGACTTCATACCCTAAACCTGAGTTGGTCCTTCTGAGAGGCAGCATGACTTATGTGTTCATTCTACTTGAAGGTCTTGGGAATCCTGGAGCTTCCTTCTGTCTAACCTGCCAGCCCGGCCTCTCAGCCACCTCGGCCTTGGTTAGTCAACAGCCAGACCACCCTGGATACACGATGTGTCTGAGAGGGGCAGCAAAGGCTTGCTGATCCCACGTCATTGGAGTTTCATGGCTGTTTGTCCTACAGTGCTATGGTAATGATGCTTAATGGATACAGAGAGTAGAATTAAATAATCTCAAAGGCCATTCCAGCTCACATTCCACCAGCAACTTAGAAACAGATCCAACCTGTAGACAAATGCATAGTCCTAATCATATCCCCGAGAGACACTAGCAGGCCTCCTAATCTCCCTAGGATCATTTTCCCTAGGATCAATAAAGAAAGAACATCAGCCGGGCGGTGGTGGTGCACGCCTTTAATCCCAGCACTCGGGAGGCAGAGCCAGGCAATCTCTGTGAGTTCGAGGCCAGCCTGGGCTACCAAGTGAGCTCCAGGAAAGGCGCAAAGCTACGCAGAGAAACCCTGTCTTGAAAAAAACC